CCTTAGTCAAGATCTTTCTGACACAAGCAATGATATCCCTTGTTCCATGTCATCTTCTGAGCCCTGCTTGAATTTCTGGCAGCTCCTATCAATATACTGCTGCAAATTGTTTTTGAATTATCTTCAGCAAAATTTTCATTGCATGCAATATTAATGATATTTTTCAATGATTTACACATTCTGTTGAGTTACTTATTTTTGTAATGGGCACAAATATGGATTTTTTCCCAATCAGTTAGCCAGGTAGTTGCCTTCCAAATTTCTTGGCATAGATGAGTGAGCACCGCCAATGCCTCATTAGTTTGTTGAAACACTTCAATTTGTATTCCGTCAATTCCTGGAGTCTTGCTTTTTTGCCCGCTCATTCAGTGCAGCTTGGACTTCTTCCTTCAGTGTCATTAGTTCTTGATCATAGGCTACCTCTTGAAATGGTTGAGCATTGACTGATTTTTTTGGGTGAGGTGACTTTGTATTTCTTCCATTTCCTTTTGATGCTTCTGGCATCATTCAATTTTTTGTCCATGTGGTTGTTCTTAAGTGCCATCTAGTCGGTTTTAACTTATAGCGACCCTTATAGGGTTTCTGAGGAGCAGCTGGTAAGCTTGAACCACTGACCTTGCAGTTCAAACTGATGTTGCAGTCTAGCACATGAACCCACAGTGCCACACCAAGACTCCATTTTGCCCATAGAACCCTTCAATATTGCAAGTCACAGCTTAAATTTTTTCTTCAGTTCCTTCAGCTTGAGAAATGCTGAGTGTGTACATCCCTTTTGGTTTTCTAACTCCAATTCTTTTCACATTTCATGTTAATACTTTACTTTGCTTTCTTGAGCTGCCCTTTGAAATTTTCTTTTCAGCTCTTTTATTTCATTTGTTTTAGTCGTTTTAGCTTCTATAAGTTCAGGAGCAAGTTTCAGAATCTCTTCTGACATTCGTTTTGGTCCTTTCTTTCTTTCCTGTCTTTAAAATGACCTTTTGCTTTCTTCATGTATGATGTTCTTGATGTCGTTCCATAATTGTTCTGGTTTTCGTGATTAGTGTCTAATGCATCGAATCTGTTCTTGAGATGGTCTCTAAATTCAGTTGGGATATATTCAAGGTCATATTTTGGCTCTCATGGACTTGTTTTAATTTTCTTCAGCCTGCACATTAAGACCATTAAAAACTCATCAGCCTTTCCTTAGTCTCTCATAATCTGAAGCTCTGCTTGAACCTATCCACCATGGGTGATCCTTCTGGTATTTAAAATACTGGTGACATAATTTCCAGTATCACAGCAACACACAAGACACCACAGTAAAACCAATTCACAGATGAGTGGTGGGAAGGTCTGTTTAGCAGCATTATATTGTTTTTTATATTAGCATCATATTTACAAATGAATAAATACTCTATGATCTCCCTTGTATGAAATAAATATATAGCCCACTGCCATTGAGTTGATTTTGACTCATATTTTGCCTGTGTAGGGCTTATGAGGCTATACATCTTGATGACAGCAGAAAGTCTCGTCTTTCTCCTGCAGCATGGCTCGTGGGTTTGAATTTCGCTTAGCAGTTCAGTGCTTATTTGACAGTGCCACCAGAGCTCCTTTAAGCAATATTTTTAGGAATAAAATGCATATTTTATATTTTTGACTACTGACTCATTATCTTTAATGGTTATATTTCCTTTCAGGTTTCAAATTGCCTCTTGAGTCAGTTTTGGTTAAATTATATACTTCTAGAACATTATAAATTTCCTTTTATGTTTTTCAATTTACTGGAATAAACTTATTCATTATATTGCTAGAATTAAAAAAAAAAAAATTGTTTTGTCTGTAGTTATTTCCTCTAATATGGTTTATGCCATCTCTCTTCTAACCTTGACAGAGGTTTGCCTATTTTATTAGTCTTATTAAAAAGCCATTTAATTAATCTTTATTATTTTTTACTTCCTTCTAGGTTGCTGTTTTTCTAGTTTCTTGAGTTAGATATTTAATAATTTTTAATAATAATATGGGCATTTTAATTTACAAATTATTTTAGTTTAAAAAATATATTGTGCATTCCTTTTGCTATTTTATCATCATTATTATTACATTTATTAAGTGCTAATTACATGGTATGTTGGTGTGGAATACTGCACTGAACTGAAAGATCAGTTTGAACTGCAAGGTTGGTGGTTCAAACACACCAGTTGCTCTTTGGAAACCCTATATGGGATCACTATGAGCTGAAACTGACACAATGACACTTAGTAGCAACCACAATTGCTATAAATACTTTATATTTATTAACTTCTTTAATTATCATATAAATTATATTAATATGTTTATTTTATAGATGAGAAAACCAAAGCACAGAAGTTTAAACACATATAGCGAGTAGGTAGTAGAGTTAAGATTTGAACTCAGGTCTGACTTCTGAGGTATATCAGTTCAAGTGACACACACAGAGTTAATATTTCTTCCTCATTTCTGGCATCTGGGGATTTTCTCTTCCTGTTGAACTTAACACCTAGTTACCTATGCCCCCAAATTTAGGAGTCATTCTTTTTAAAAATGTTTTATTGTGAATTATGTGATAGTTTACATGGGAGAACATTAGTTTGACATTCATCCTATCATATGTCATTTCATTGTCGTGGTTACAATCCCCTCCATGCATCATTGACCAACCAAAGGGTATATCCTACAAGTCGGCCCCCCTAGGAATCATTCTTGATCCCTTTTTTCCTCATGGCCCAGTCCTATTCCTAGTCTCCTCACCCCTATTATCAAGTATTATTGTAAATGATATATTTTACTTAGTATAAAATATGATTTGAGTTGGAGGTTAAAGGAGAATTCAGCTAGTCTCTGTCTGTGCTGTCTTTAAAAACACTCATTCAGGTTTTTGTCCTCGCCACTCTAAATGGTACATATATAAACCATCCTGCCATGGATGAGGGTTGCAGCTTCTCTACATCCTTGCCAACATTTGTTTTTCTTTAAAAAAAAAAAAAGTTAAATTTCATTTTTGTTGAGAATATACCCAGCAAAAGATACATCCTTTCAACAATTTCTCCATGTATCATGTAGTGACACTGATGACATTCTCTGAGTTGTATAGCCTTTCTCATTCTCCTTTTCTGAGTTGTCATTCCCTCATTAAGATAAATTTCCTGCTCCCAACATCTTCTTTTTTATATTAGCTTCTCTAGTGGGGGTGAAGTGGTATTTAATTGTAATTAGTATTGAACAATATTGTCTTTTGATATTTGAAAATTACCAGTTCATTCATATTTGTTATCTCCCCTTAACCAGAAAATCCTAAATTCTGACTATTTCAAATAGCAGTTTAATTTTTTTCTTCTTGCAAAGGGGCACTGTAAAACTTGTGTTTTATCTACCCTTTAGTATTATCTGATGCTATTGAAAACCTCAACAATCTAACCAAAGAGAAGATAAACGTTTCTGACCTCTGGAACATTTTATTTTCTTCAAATAATAATTTAAAAAAAGATGAATTCCTAGCTGCAGTGAAACTAGCAAGAGTTGATGGTGGGTATTCCAAATATTAAAATTTAAAAAGTATACAAAAATGTAACTTCCTCTTCTGACAATCTTTATTTGTCCTTTTATTTTATATTTGGTGAGATAGGGTGTTGCAGGTGATTGAAAGTCATTGTATACATTTAGGAAATATATTTTGCTTGTCCTATAGGAAAATATGAATATTTTATCTTTATTACTCTAAATGGATCAAATCTGTAGGTTTAGAGCATATTCAGGTTGTAGAGCATATTCCTGGAAAATGGCACACCTGGTATGGTGCTGTAGGATAAACACTGGACTGTTCACTGCACTAACCACAAGGTTGGCAGTTGAGACCCACCTATATAAGGTTTGTATGAGTTGGAATGTATGTCACACAACAAAAAACACCACCAACAAGTGAACACAAAGGAGATAATGATGAAATGCTATAAGACCTAGTCAAACTCCATAGGAATAATACTGCTTGGGATTGCCACACTGTTTTGTTGAAATAAACTTTTACTTAATTTTCTAGAAAAACACATCTTCTGGTGGCTTCCACCTCTTAGCAAGGGGGTGGGGAAAGCAAGTAAAACATTGAAAAAGTATTTATCCATTCATCTTTCAGTTGACATTTAGGTTGTTCCAACCTTTTGGCTATTGTGACTAGAGCTGCAATGAACATTGAAGTATTGAATATCTATATGGTAATGATGATGTTACAAATGATTAGTGGAATAAATGTTACTGAACTGTACTCATATGTGTGCAAAATGGTGAATTGGCACATGTGTTATATATATATGTATTTATCACAATAAAAATAATTAAAATGGAAAATTTTTGTTATACATATAAAAAGAAAATAAGGTTAAAAAATGTTTTTCTTGCAGAAAATGACAACTTACAATTTGACAAATTTTCAGAAGTGGTAAAGAATATGCATGATGCCTCAAAGTTAGATGGTAAGTACTGGATTATTTGTCATTGGTTGATTTTTTTGAGTGGAAGCCTTTTGTTTCATTTTTTAGCAATTTCTGGTTAACATTTTGACATTGATCTGCTTGTAGGGAGTCAGAACTTAATTTTGATGAAAAGTTTGCAGCTTCTATTATAATAAAAGAAATAAAGCTTTTTGTAGATTTGTTGTTGTTGTTACATGTTGTCAAGTTGTTTCTGACCCATAGCAACTCTATATAGGGCTTCCAAGGAGTAGCTGGTGGGTTTGAACCACTGACCTTGTGGCTAGCAGTCCAGTGCTTATCCTACAGTGCCACACCAGGACTCCTTTTTTAGAGAAGAGATCATTTTAATGCTGTTTTTATTCCTTCATTATATTAGCCAGGAGCCTTGATGGTACAATGGTTATAGTGCTCAGTAGCAAACTAAAAGGTTAATGGTTTGAGCCTACCTACTGCTCCACGGGAGAAAGATGTGGCTTCTATAAAGATTTACAGCTTCTCAAATTATATGCTCAGCATACAGATTGAATAAGCATTGTGAAAGAATATAGCCTGGAATATACCTTTCCTGATTCTAAACCATTCCATATCCCCTTGTTCTTTCGGAATGACTGCCTCTTGGTGTATGCACATGTTCCTCATGAACACAATCAAGTGTTTTAGAATATCCATTCTTTGAAATGTTATCCACAGCTTGTCATGATCCACACATTCAAAAGCCTTTGCATTGGCAATAGAGTACAAGTAGATATCTTTTTGGTATTCCCTGCTTTCAGCTAACATCCATCTGATATCAGCAATGCTATCACTAGGTCCACACTTTATTCTGAATCCATTTTCATTTTCTGCAGCTCCCTGTGGATGTACTGTTGCAGCTGTTTTGAATTATCTTTAGCAAAATTTTACTTGCATGTGACATTAATGATATTGTTTGGTGATTTCCACATTCCATTGTACCACCCCTCTTTGGAATGGACACAGATATGAAACTCTTCCAATTGGTTTTCCAAATTTCTTGGCATGGGTGAATGAGTGCCTCCAGTGATTCATCTGTTTTTTTGAAAGGTTTCAATTTGTATTCTGTCAATTCCTGGAGCCTTGCCTTTCACCATACCTTAGTGCAGTTTGTACTTCTTCGTTTAGTATCATAGATCGTCCTTGTAGGTGCAAAGATATTATTTTTGTCACAGACAGCATTGCACTTTAAGGTAGATCTTAAATGCTCTTTTTCATGTTGAATGAACACCATTCCTTTTCAGTTTGTCATTCTCAGCATAGTAAGCCATATCCAATTCAAAATGGCCAATACCAGTCCATTTATGTGTTCCATATGCTAGGCATAAGTGAGCTGAAATGGACTGGCATTGGCCATATTTCATTTTGGTGACTTCCAATTTTCCTAGATTCATACGTCACACATCCTGTGTTATGATTATTAATGAATATTTACAACTCTTTCTTCTTATTTTGAGCTGTGCCTCTTCAATAAGTGAGCCTAAAGGCTTTGTTCCATCCACATCATTCAGGGCAACTCTACTCTGTGGAGGCAGCTCTTCCTTAGTTGTATTTTGAGTGCCTTCCTACTGGAGGGACTCATCTTCTGGAAATGTATTATATCATGTTCTGTTGCTATTCTTAAAGCTTTCATTGGCTAACTAACTATTCCTTCTTTCTAGTCTGTCCTTAGTAGGGAGGCTCTGTGGGAACCTGTCTACTATGGGTGACCAGTGGTGTAGCTTCCAGCTTCAAACAACACACAAACCACCCCAGTACGACAAACTGACAGACAACTGGTGGAATTTCATATGAACAGCCGAGAAAACATGATGGACCAAGGATTTCATGCATATTGTACTACTGGTCATAGAATTCCCTCAGGGATAGAGTCCTTGCTGAGATGTCTTATACTTCAATCCAAGACATAATAATAAGCCCTGGACTGGCACTGATAATAGTTTTCAGTGATGGCAAATATGTTTCGTTTTTTAAGTCAAAAGTTGGTTTAATTATCAAATAACATTTCTATTTTATTTCCAGAATTGAAGGAGGTTACTTCTGTCCCCAATTTGCTTGAAGGTGACATGATATCTGGGAAGAACTTAGAAGACTTTCTAAGAAATATTGGGATTAAGTCACCTAAAGAAGAGGCAGATAAAATTCTTCAGTCAGATTTTGTTTCTGGTAAGCATTTTAAATGTTAACATCAGTTTTTTGCAAAGACCTCTGGGGCACAGTGGCAGTTAAATGCTTGACTGCTAACCAAAAGGCCAGTAGTTCAAACCTATCAACTGTTCCTCACAGAAAAATGTGACTGTCTGTTTCTGAAACCCTCGAGGACAATTCTCATCTGCTTATGGAGTCCTGGTGTTGTGGTGCTGTAAGATCAGCACTAGACTTCTAACCACAAGATTGGCAGTTCAAACCCACTAGCCATTCCTCAGAAACCCTATGAGGTGGGACCGACTTTATGGCACGTAACAACAATAACTCTGCCTATAAAGTCACCTTGAATTGAAATGGACTAGATGGCAAATAACAGCAATCTTTGAAAAACATTTTTTAAAATCTTTTTAAACTAAATTAAACCTTCCCTTTTTAAACGTGCTCTTTTGTAGTTATAAGAGCACTTTTTAACAAGCAGTTCTAAATTTTGTGGGATGTGGACATGTTGGGATGTATCAAAGAAAATCTTTTGTCCTCAGAGGTCTTTGTTGCAAATTCAGGTTGTATGAGTAGTAACCCTAGCTTTGCCCCCTTTGGTTGCCACTACATTTTGTAAATTATTGGTCCTTTAGTTCTCTTACAGGTAGATCAGATCTATAATCTTGTAAGTTGTTGTAGAGAATACTGGATGGAAATAAATCCAAAATACCTTGTAAAAAAATATAAAAGTTATATGCTGGTTTTGATACTAGTCTTTTAATATTACCTTGTCCAGAAATTCTTGTTTGTCATCTCTCTTTGTTTTCCTTCCAGAAGATAACATGGTGAATGTTAAAGACTGCATGAGGACTTTGAGGGACACTCAGAAATTTTCCAATTTTTTGGGTAAGAGTTCTGTGGTGAAACTGATAAAAGGCAACAATGCAGGACTTGTTGAAAGGCCACCTAACCAAGTACTATATTTGGTGCTTAAATCTTCTTTGCAGTGTCTGTGCCAAATGTTTGTTTTGTCTGTACATAAACACTTCCAATTATGGAAAATGTGCTAAAATTTAAATTTAATTCATTTTACACTAAAATAAGTTGGTTTCTTTTTAAACTAAATTTAACTTGTATTTTAAATTTCAAGTTGGTGATTGAAAAGATTTTCTAATAGTTGAATGAAGAAATCTTTATTATAGTCTCATGGTAAAAAATTTTAAGTAAAATAATGAAATTTCACAAAGATTTGAGAACTATAAAGTACAAGCAAACCTCTTGCAATGTCACAACCTGTGGAAATATCCCTGTTAACATTTGGTAAATATCCCTTTAAACTTTTAAAATGTTTATGACTACAATTGTTTCTCTGTGTCTTCTGGTTCTGCATCCAAAGATTCAACCAACTGAGGATCAAATATACTGGGTGGGTGAGGGGAGTAATTAAGTAAACAAAGCAATCCCTCAAAGGCTATCGAAACCAAACTCATTCCCATCAAGTCAATTTCCAACTTAATAGTGACCCTATATAGGGTTTTCGAGATTATAAATCTTTAAGGGAGCAGACAGCCTCATAAAGATTTATGCTGGAGGGGCTGGTGGGTTTGAGCTGACGACCTTGCAGTTAGTACAAACTTACATTGTACTAGGTATCATAAATAATCTAGAAATGATTTAAAGTACAAAGGAAGATATGCTTAGGTTATATGCAAATACTATGCCATTTTGTATAAGAGACTTGAGCATCTACAAGTTTTGGTATGGGGAATGGGACGTGGTCCTGGAACCAATCCCCTGTAGGATGACTGTATTTGTGTGTTTTGAAATTACTTTATAAATTGGACCATTTTGTTCATACTATCCCACAATTAGTTTGTGTGTGTATATATGTGCTAACAGTATGTATTGTTGTATGTTATACCATATAAGCCTACCTTGTTCTTTTTAAAGACTGTAAAATATTCATTTTGAGGATATACTATAATTTTATTTACAATCCTTTTGGGTTATTTTCAATTTTTTACTATTACTAAATTTTGATGAACATCTTTAACAAGGATGGTGGCTTTCAAAAAGTAGTGGAAAAATAGAATGAGAAGATAATGAAAAATTTCCATGAACTTTTTGACCCTGTATAGGATTCCCAAAGAGTGGCTGGTGAGTTTGCACCACCATCTTTGTCGTTAGAAATCCAGTGCTGATCCTACAGCACTACATCAGGACTGGTAGCCTTTATCACATGTGGTGATCAAATACTTGAACATGGCACTGTAGGATAAAGCACTGGACAAAAAAGTAGGTTTGAATCTCAAGGTCAAACTCACTAGCCTCTCCTTGAAACCCTATACGGGGTTGCTATGAGTTGGAACTGATTCAATGGCACTTAACAACAACAACAACAGCTGAGGAACTGGATATTAAATGTTATTGATGTAAATTGAAGTGGCCACATGCTGCTGGTGACTACTGTACTGAATAGTACAGATCTAGAAGAGGCCATGTGGTTTAGTTATGTTCAAAAGATCTAGATCCACATACTGAATTGTATGCTGTATGTATATTGTCTATATGTTTGTAGCATTGAATAAGGTCATCAATACTTTGGACTGTCTGAAAGAAGGCTATGGATCTGATGAAGACAAACATTCAGATGCACTAGAAAATGCCAGTAAAACTTATTTCACTGATGAAAGTCTTCAAGAGATACTGGATGATTCCTATGTTAAGGGTGAGTTGATTTGAGTAGACAACCAGCACCTTATAATAAAAATTTCTTCTAAAGGGATAGCAGGTTTTTATCTACAAAGTATTTTACCAAATGCTAATTAATTCTGAAGTAGTTCCTAAATAACACTATAAACGTTAGAGCAGTCAGTATTTACTAATCCCAGATTTCGGAATATCCCTTATAAGTATATTCAAAGAGATTTAATTATAATATCAAGTGTCTGGATGATCTCATGGCTTGGACTGTAAAATTGGTCTAAAAGTGTATATGTGTGTTGTTACATGACTTTGGAATAATATGTCTTCCTAGAGTAGTTTCATTTCAAAATACTCCCTTTCCTTTTATGTGTCTTAAGAATTTCCCAGTTTTCTTCCTTTTTTCTTTCCTTCCTTCCTTCCTTCCTCCCTTCTTTCTTTCAAAGGTCCTTTGAGAAAGATAAGGTATTGTTTAGTAACAAAATTAAAACATATTCATGTCTATAATCACTTGTAAGTCTCAATTTGTTTGTTCTATCTGAGAAGAGCTTACCTGATTCATCTTCCATATACTCTCACTTCTTATTTTCTATATGATGAATATGGTCAATTGCAACAGATATAAACAAGCTCATAAAGCTGCCCATTTGTGGTGAGGATGTACTCATATTTAGAAAGCCATTTCCTGCCTTTAAACATAACTTTAGTTAAAATTACAAGCAATTTTGCCCTCAAGGATCACTTAATACATGGAGACATGAGGGTGAGTCAAACACTGTTCACACTCAGGTGCTATTAAAACTTCTGTTGTCTGCACTGCCTTATTGAAGACTTTGTGCACAGAATGGAGAGTTTTTGTCATGAAGAAGTGTGTGTGCATGCATAAGGAAATTCAAGGAAGGACACACACGTGTCAACCACGTAGAAGAAGCCGGACACCCATCTATGTCCATGGCTGATGATAACATTGAGGGTGCATGTGTCTGTCTAAATGATTCTGTCTAATAGACAAGAGTGACCGTGGATTATGTGGCAAATCATTTGCAAATCATCTGTAGCTCTACTGATGAAATAATCTATGAAAGACTTGGGTTTCAAAAATTTGTGTGAGATGTGTACCTAAACAACTCATGGAAGAGGCATAGTCAGAAGCGTTTAGACATCTGCAGACAAAATTTGGACCAATACTCAAAGGAAGGTAAAAGTTTCTTGAAAAAACTTGTTACTGTTAACAAGACATGGATTCATCACCACAAGCCTGAAAGTCAATGGCAGAATATGGAATGGAAACATCCTCAATCAGCCTCCAAGAAGAAGTTCAAAAGTCAACCATTAGCTGGAAAATTGATGCTTGTAATTTTCTGGGATCCTCAAGGACCAGTTCTGGAACACTATCAACAATGGACAATGCTCACTGATAAATTGAAGCCTGAACTTTGAATTAAACTCAGAGGATTGCTATCTCAGAGTGACAATACACATCCATACACCTCTGTCCACACTGTTGACATTCTGCAAACATTTAATTTTGAGGCGATTTCAAGACTATAGTCTTGATTTTGCTCCATTGAACTTTCACCTGTTTGGTCTACTGAAAACAGCCCTTTAAGAAAAAAGATTTACCTCTGAGGAATAAGTGAAGACAGTAGTACATTCATGGCTCACAACTCAACCTAAAACATTTTCTAATAAGGGACTATGAAAGCTTGTTGACAGATGGACAGAGTGTATTGAAAAGCAAGGAGATCATGTTTAAAAATGATGTATTTGTCTTTCCTAAAAGTTGATTACAATAAATTCTACAGCCAGAGTGTGGATAATTTTTGACTCACCCTCATAGTTTTAGTTGTCACAACTGGCAGGCAAGGCATCTAGTGGATATTGGCAAGGGATATTGTAAAACATCCTACAGAGCACAGAGCAACCCTTCTACCTTCCCAAATACATAATTATCTGGCTCACAAACTCAGCAGTACTGAGGTTGAGAAACCCTGCTTTAAAAATATCTTATCAAGTTGGCATAACTTATTATTTTAGAAGTAATTTTGTATAGGTTAGTTGTTTTGTTCATCCTCCTTAGAACAAAGAAGAAATAACAACAACAAATTAAGGAAATATAACTTACCTTTATTTTAACCTCTCTTTCTTTCAAGGTAATATTTAGATTAGTTGTGAATTGTTCTAAGATGCCTTTTAACTGGAATATGGTTTTTTATTGCTGTTAGGTACCATTGAGTCAGTCCCAACTCATTTTGTACGATAAAATGAAACACAGCCTGGTCCT